TTAAATTAACAAAATAGACAAAACATGCTTAGAATTTGGAACACGGAACACTCAAATAGAAGTGAACGTAAAGATCAAGAGCCTAGAAAATATAGGTATTGACTATTGAATCGAACCTTTCACCTTACACGAGAGTAAGGATAGTGTTACTGTTTGTGTTTGCCACGAAAAGTTTCCATGCATGCATGTTTCTTAGGTTTTGGTTGGCTGTAATGTTTTATGTTGCAGAACTAAACTGTAGGTGTCTGGAATTGGAAGGTTGGCGTTGTTAATGTCTTACTATCTTCTAGTTTAGAGCAGTACATTATACCTAATTGTTTTCATTAAACACTATTTTTTTCTAACGTGAATCACTATATAGTTTAGTTAACAAAATGGGAACAATTGTTTCAATTTATTGATGTTTTAGGAGAGAAAACAATTGTGTTAGTTTATTTGATGTTTTAAAATATAACTACGAGGTAGTGGGCTAATGGTTCTAATTTGATGGAAGAGTCGCCTTGGTCTTTGTCAAGAATCCATTTTTTCCGGACAAAGAATTGCTCATCAGCTTCATTATTTTGGCTACATATTATTGCTTACAGTCCATTTGAAAACTTGAGAGTTCCTACATGTGAAATACCTTCTCCCTAAAAATTAGTTTTAGACCCATGAACTAAACATATGGAAAAACGTTAAAACGAATTAAAAAACTAATACATATATATATGTATCTACGATTCCACGGCTATAAATTAATTGATGTTTTAGGAGAGAAAACAATTGTTCCAATTTATTTGATGCTTTTAGATTCCAAGATAAATTAGTTATGTTTTTATGTTTTATGACTGTTAATAATATATAGATTCTTTTCTATTGGTTAAATTATATTTAAATAGATGATAAATGATGTTTAGTTGGTTTCTATGAGTATGTATGGTAGAAAGTTGTAATGTAGAAAAATATATTACTTTCTTTTAAAAAAATTTCTTGGATAGGAAAGACATTTGTAAATCATAAATTAATTCCAAAATCTTCATTTTTCCATTTATAATTTTATCATAGACGCAATTCCCAAAATTATGAGTCAGATTATAATGTCGATAAATCAAGAAATTTTTTTTTATTGTGTATTTAATCAATGAGTCATATGCAAGGTTCTGAATTCCGATGCATTTTTCTATGACGTAACGTATATCAACAAAATATTTTTTCTATGTAGAAATATTTCATGGGTCCTATTCTTACTAATTAGCAAACGATTAGTTTACTTATTTTTTAAATTTATGCCAATTCAACCAAAACATATTTTAATTAAAAAGGAAAGAGGACTGTCTAAAAAATCTGATTTTGGTCTTCTTAGGTTTGGTAGGTCATAAATTATGCAACAATGACATAACAAGCTAAAACTTCTTGGAAACGTCAAAACATTTTGGTAAAGCGACAGAAAAAATACCTAACCCCATACATTAGGAAGAGTAGAAATCTCAAACTTATAGAAATGCCTCAAACCTCAATTTTTCTAGAGTTTTAGAATTACAAGTCATCCTTTCTTATAAGTTAGACTTACGAAATTTCAAAGCTACACATATATGGTGACAGTTTACCCTATCTGATATTGTTCCATTTGTTTTTATAGTATATGATTACTTGATCATTTACGAAATGTAAAATTTATAAAAATTCTGAATAAATTTGTGTCATTAGTCAAATCGTTTCACTATGATGGTATCTTTATTTTGCTCATAGGCAATGATTAGTACATACGGTGGATATGATATCACGGGATTAGTTTGAACTTTATATACAGTATATGATATTGAATTAGGATTTTCAGAATAGCAAACTTCTATGGAAGAATGCATATATGTAATTATGCATAAATATAGAATAATTGTTCGTGAAATAATAATAATAATATAATTGACATAGCCAGTAAAATGAGCTATCGAGCTAAATTTGATAGATATAACCTACAAATTTTGGTGTTCAATGAAGGATCTAGGCTAAGGGGGTTGTTCGTTTCTACATCCAAATGAATTATTTCGGTGTTACCATCTACATGTTGTTTGTTCCGTCAAATTTATTATGTTATTAGGATACCAGAAAAATATATAAAATTGATTGCACTCAAAATGATATTTAGATATAATTAAAAAAGAGTTTGAGAAATGTACAACCAAAGCATAAATAATGATATATCTTTTTGTGTGAATATAGAAAAATCATTAGTTTGGTTTGAGACAAAAATGGCAAACAGCTTTAGGAAACTTGCGTTATAACCGTAGACTTGTGTTTGGTATCAAAATCACAGAGAGTTAGGCACCCAAAATCATGGAATCCGATTTTTCAGGTTGAATCAACTATATAAACAACAGAATCGTATTAAACCCTAAAACACAAAAAGTTTTGTATTGTCGGCTAATTTTACGAAATTTTGGAACCGAAATTAGGAACCAAGATTTTCATATTTCGGACCAAAACATATTTTCTGTAATATGTCATTTTTAATTCATATTTTGAATAAAAATTATATTATTAATTAAAATAAAATTAATTATTTTGATAATTTAATAAAGTAGTTACATGGCATATCATTAATACCAATCTGCTATATGTTGCATCCGTTTTTTAATGAACAAACTCGTATTCAAATGTGACATCGAGAAACAAAAATAAATGTCAAAATAAACATGACATGATCAATTCGGATGCATGCAACATTGAAATAGAAACAAACGGACATAAAAGTACAGATTTAATTTATGATATTGATGCAGTCCGTCAAAACCAAAAACAATACATATCCATGCTTACGTTTTAACTTGGGCTTCTTTATATTGATGGAAATTTATACGATTTCAAATGTATTGGCCCATTACAATGGCTTCTCTCTGTCTTCCTATATTTTTACAAAACCTAATGATTCAACTAAAATATGACCAGTATATCAGAACAATACTTTTCATGAGGTTACCTAGGATGAAGCTTATCTAAAAGAGTCACAAGTGTTAACTTGTTACAGTCTTGTTATTCCCACAAAGTGGGCTTTGATATAATTATAATATGTGACCATTAGAGAGACAACATAGTCCATAGTTTCAATAAGTTTTGACTATTTTAATTAGTTAATCATGTATGTTCAAAAAACGACGTTGCTAGAGATCTTTAATCTTTGACAACCTGTTCATGTATCAGAAAACAAATAATGGTCGTACAGTATCTCGAGAAACAAAATAATTTGAACCAAAACCAATTCCCATACAAAAAGGCCCCTGATTCGGTTATAACGTGAGAAAACAAATAAAGGTCACCTTGATAAACACATGTGTATGGTTATTACCGTGTATTGTAATTAAAAAAAAAAAGAAAAAACCTCCGTTAAAACCTAAATTATTTCCCTAGTCAATTCTTTTCTATTAGAAAAATGATAATTGGTTTTTTTTAATTAGTCATGTTTAATTTTGTAAATAAAAAATTTCTAAACTAAATTATTTTATATTGAGCCCATTAGGGAGACCCACGAAAAAAGATTTTTTTTATTTTTTTTTGGTATGACGAAAATAGGATTTTATTAACATCTAGTTTATTAGAGTAATAATTTACAATTTTAGTTTATAATTTGAAGGAAAAAGTGTAGTGAGAAGTATTCGCGTGTGGTCACGCGCCTACAACGATTTTGTTATAGATTAACAAAACAATATTACTTTCTCCATCTCTCTCTTTCATTCTGTCGTCTTTTATCACCGTTGCTTCACCGTCGCGATATCTCCAGTATCTTCTTGATCTGTTTCGTATCTTGATTGCGATAAATAACAAAGGTTGGTAGCGAATGTTGTTGAAAATTGAAATTATATCTTTGAATCTGTGCCATAAAAGTTAGGATCTTTCCACAAGAAAATTAAAAAAATAACAATCCAAGCATACTCCTCTTCTTCTTTTTTATTGCTCTGTTTATTGTTCTTTTGTGTGTTAGATTACCATTAATATTAAGGATTTAGCATGTTAGTGTTTCCTCATAAAATTAATGATCGTTGATTATGTACAAATATTGGACGAGATGTGGACTGGCCAGGACAACAACAGATATTAGTGTTTCCTTATTTCTCTTTTCCTTTTCTCTCTTTATAATTTAATTAATTCTAACGACACTCTATTGAATATCTCTAGTGAGGTTGCTTTTAGATTAGCCTCCTAACCTCAACTGATCTACTCATTTAGGGAATAACACTCCCATTGATTGATCCATCATCTTCCTAGATCCAATAATCCAACCGCTCCATACTTTGTTCATGACCTAGTTTGGAATATTATGCTAAAATCTGAAAGATCATATAGGATAGAAGCAGTTTTATGGTATCTTACAATTTGTTGTAGTTTGATCAGCCAAAGTTGTTAGGTCATGACCAACTCTTTATAAAGCGACCCAAGATATCAAATCCACTCTAAAAGTAGGCCTTCTCTTTAACTTATATATATCGGATGCTTTCTTGTCTCTCTGGTTCCATATTAATGTAATAATTTTGCGTTGGTAGTCATTTCTTATCCTGTTTTGTACTCCTTCAAATGTTTTTTTTTTTAATCTTTTAATACATAGTTGTCATTTTGAAGGAAAAAAGAAACTTCCTTAATTCTCAAGAAACATAAGAAATTAAAATTAAAAATGACATACTCTCTTACGTATAAGAAATCATTAATATTCCAAGTTGAAAATAACTTCAAAGCAATAATGTTGTTCCACACGAAATATCAAATGGCCGGATCTTTGAAGTCTTGAAATATTTTTTAGAGGTACGGTTCACGCATGCAGAGCATGCCGACAAAACTATCCTTAAAAAGAAACAAAATATTTTTTATCCAGTTCTTTCCAAATATAGCAAGTAGCAAGACTTATTAACCAAATTAATCAATCTGTCGCATTTTACAATATTATCTTCAAGACAAGATAGATAGACACTTATGACCTACAAGATTGAGGAAAAGAATTGAGATAAAGAAAAACAATATTATTGAGACAAAATGTAGATAAGAAATTGTATGTTGTACATTTTACATATCGTGGTCATAACAAGTACGGTTGTCTACTTGTCTTAGATGATACAATTGTACGATCTACATAACTCACATAAATTCTTTGGGACAGCAAAAGACAAATGTACTTACTACAAAGTACAAATAAAATCATTTGAAGACATACTTAACCAGCCCTGGAATATGTGTATACACAAAATAGTTGTCCCAATCGATAATCTTCGGATCAAAATAGAAGATCTCGGTCTCCATTCCCGTCACTGGCAACAGTTTTTGCAGTTTCTCCGTATTTGTATCGTCGAATCTGCGTGTATATATACATAATTTGTGTTATAATATCTATACATAAAAATGATCCAGCCAGATTGAGAAATAGGAACAAAACTTACACTCCATAGAAAAATAGGTAAGGCTGATAAAGATCAACAAGCCTCCATACATAATTTATCTTCCTATGGAGTTCCTTAAACTTCTTCTCTAACGACTTACAAAGTACCATGTTCAGTAACTCGAGTCCCTACATATAGGACAGAGTTAAGAATACCGATCAGTAGGGATGACACACGAGTCAAGACATATGGTCAGAAACATTACCTTCAGAGGAAGTACATAATGCATGGTCATGTATCTATGGAAACTAGGAATAGAACCCAAAATCTCTATTTTTCCGACCCGAACCACCTTCCCTTCTTTGTTTGTCCATGGTTTGGCTGTGAAATACCGGTACGCTATCTCCGGCATTTTCTCATTTTTGAATGGATTTCTCATTGAAGAACTCACATGATAAATGGTCTCTTTCTGTCTAGCAGCTTGAGCAGCCATTGATACTAGGATTGTATTAACAACCATATCCGCAGGTATCTGGTCCATCAAATACATCAAACATATATTTATAAAGTTTCTCTATGTGGAGATTATGATATTATACAAAAGAAGTCACATATATATAGAAAGATGAACATAGGTACCACATCCGAAACAGCATTAAGATCACCAAGGAAGCATGTGAGTTTGCCTGTACCGTATCCAACAGCTAGACTATCAATTGTCCTATACATCAAAGAGTCGTTACTTCATCAGTTCATTATTGATAAAAGACTAATAACTTATGAAACAAACTATCTTCTTATTTGACCTGATGCCCTCGGTCCAACCCGGGAATGGTTCTTTGTAGGTGCTTGTAACAATCGAAGGACGGATTATCACGAGCGACATATCTTCCCTGTTCGCCCCAACGATCATTTCCCCCATTGCCTTGGTAAACACATATGTGTTTGGCCATCCGTACACCTTTGCCCTATTTTATATATTGAAGAAATTTAGAATTTTTATTCAACTATGAGGTTATAAATACAACTTTGACATATGAACAATGTAAATAAGGATCACCTTGTATGTCCAAAATCTTTCATGGCTTGTGTGATGGTCTCGGGGGAAGCTCCGGTGGCTTGAAGCTGGCTAAGTTTCTCCTTAACCAGCTTCTTCTCTTGATTGATATCGAGGCCGATGGCTCCGTTTAACGTCTCACCCATACGGTAAGGTGTTTCCGTGATCAATCCCGGTTTTTCACCACATACGTAAGCTATATATATACATAATAATGTTCTTAGATATTAAATCATTTATCAGATTTTTTTTTAAAACAAATTACTATGAATTAACCGAAATTGAATCTCTAACCTATACTAAACATATAAATTAAGATTATACGATTTTAAACTCTGAAAGACAGAATGACAACATTTATAAGCTTGTCGCGAAAAAATGAATATGTTTCATTTCCGATTTAATAAATCGTGAATTCTTTGTCAATTTTGTGTATCTTATATACCTGTCGAGACATGAACAAAAACTTTAACCTTAGCACATCTCTTGGAAAAGTTTAGGGCATTGGCAGCACCTAATGTGTTGATCCCAAGTGCTACATCATATCTGCGATTGATGAAAATACTTTGGAAGTTAGACATTGTTAGAAAATTCATATGTGTTTATTTTTAAATCTGAACATAAAATATATGAATGACATAAACCAATCTATATGTTCCTGATCGGATGTTTACTTAAAAAAAAGGTTTTGATTAAAACAATATCTATGATAAAATATATAAATGTTATTTTCGAATTATTCGATAATGACTGGATTTGAACTAGAACTCCATAAACTATGACAGTGACCATATTTAATAATATCAAAATTGTGGGTAACTATTAACTTAGGAATAGATTCGTAACATATGATACTGATTTCACAATAATATTTAGAATTTCTTACTAAGCGTTTTAAAAACCTATTTTAATTAGAGTCTTGTTATAGTCAAATTTGTATCATAATAATAACAAACAAGTTGAATGTTATAACTTCATAGTTACCTTTCATCGAAATTGGTAGTTGCAGCTAAATTAACAATGGCATCAAGTTGCTGGACCATCTCATGTTCCAACTCAGAGTCTAGCTTATTTAGACCCATATCGTCAAGACAAATGTCTCCATTGACAATAGTGACCTTTTCCAAAATATCATTTAGATTTGATCCATATTTTTCCTTCACTACCTTGAACAGGTCCTTTCCCAAAATCTATAGACAACATGTGGAACAATTTATGGGTAATAACAAATTAATACTTAACTAAAAAATATTACTTAACCTAAGTTGAATTTAAAATTTGAAATACTATCAAATAACATATAACATGAAAAAAGTTTATAGGTCATCGGCTCGAGTAGCACTTGGGACGAAACCATATAATATGCTCTGGTCTCGGGTCTGAAAGAATTAATGTATGGGTTTCGCGAAGCCTAAAACGTCTAAATTATTATAAAAAAAAAAAGAAAAATTGATATGCTATGCCATTAATTTAGATCAAAATTTGTCTTTATCGATATAATTAATGTATTACTAAGACAAAAACAATTCTTAAATATATAATTATGATGTGGACTCTGTCTTTGTTTATCAACCGTGAAAATCTTAACACAATTTTATGATACGTCGAGGTTTGTTGTCACTCGATATATAGTTATGGGCCTTGTGGTCTATATAAAAAAAACAAAAGAGAAAAAGTATTATTGTAGGAAACATAAATATGTAATTATTATCTATTGCCTCGACTAAGAGGGCAAATTCTTAATTACTATATGGTCCTGTGATGTGTGACTCTTCGATTATTAAGAAAATGATACGAACCTCGTCGTTAAACCTTTCAGTAGCAGTTTTTTCCCCTGATGCTCTTAGAAGAAGATACACTTTCCTCACCTTTGGTGCAACCCGTAGTATCTTCTCCACAAAAACTGCATACCAGTTATCATAACAATTATTTATACCTAATATCAAATTTTGTAAAATCTACATTTATAATGTACACACATAAAATTGGAAATATAAATCTACTAGTCGGTTGCCCGCGCTACGCGCGGGAGTTTATTATGTTGTTTATGAGTAATTGGTTCGTATTTTATTTCCTACTTATTTTTTCACTATACCATATTTTACTTTCTTAAAACTTAAATTGTGTTTGTATAGAAAAACTATTGTGTTTTAGCTTCATTAATTGTTGAGAAATTAAGTGTGTATAGTATAAGTCGAAGTGTGAGCGTAAAGTGGAAGTGCGGTTGAGAATCATTGAAAAACGTGTGCTATTAGATTTAGATGTTAATATTTTGGGCCATTTTATATGTTGGTATGAAATTTGAACATGATTGTGGGTTTCGGGCGGATTGTTGTATTTTTAATTGTTTACATTATCTCTTTATATATTGTCATAATTTATTATTTTTTGTTTTACGTTTTCCTTTTTTGGATTTGTCGTACTTTATATCTCCTAATGATCATTTATATAATATTATATATATTTTCTGATTTTATGTTTTATATTTTTTTTTTGTTTTTCATATGGAACAATTTTTAAATTTAACATATTAGTATAATTTACTTTATATTTAGTTTATTTCATTTAATAATGTTTTTTATTTGAATTTTCAATTTTATGAAATATAGTTACTTTTTTATTTTGTTATTAGTTTAACATATGTGTTGTATTGGAAAAAATAGTTAAGTTCAAATTGGAAACTTTTAAAGAAATATTATTTTTATTTTTACCTTTTTATATGTTTATAAAAAATGATAATTCATGTTTCGGTCCGAGCTATCTCATTTATGTTAGAAACTTTTTTGAGACATAAATTAGATAGATTTATATTCTCAAAATTTCTTACTTTTTGTTTTATTCCCGTTAAATCCCATTATATTTAGGTTTACATTGTGTAAATATAATCATATATATATTTTAAACATTCACTAAAAACTATAATCTATTATTTATATATTTGTTAGTATAATCGATAATTTGTAAGTTTTTTTTAACTTTTAATCAATTATCTTTTTTAGTCTTAAAATATATAATATAAAAAAAGACCTTTCATATTCCTTTTTGAAAAACTTATTTACATAGGTTTAAATATTAAAATTAAATGATAAAATTGTATAATTAATTTTTAAAATTAAATAATAAAATGAGGTGGATGATGATGTGGCTTAAGGAGAAGAGAGAAAAAGTTAACTTTATATATATAGATTATACAAGAGTAACGTAACTCGATCAGTACAATGACACATTCGTACGTCCTTACAAAACAAGTACTTGCATGCATGGGTATATTCTTATATGTATATATATATATATATACACATATATAGTATGTATTATCTAAAATCTTTGGAAGTTCAATTATTTTTGGGTCGTAAATGGTATAGTGTACTTGTTAGTCGCCGCATTTTAAACGACTCGCATAAGTTATGATAAATATACCCCACAACATTTATCTTTGGACCGGTTGATAATTAATTCCTACATTGTAGCTAGACCAGTCTACTCGTAATTAGCTCGTATGATTTATTGTAGAACTATAAGTATAGTTATACTAAGTGTTCGAGAGTAGACTTGTGAATACTAACATGTACATGTGTTAATAACTAACCCATTTTTTTTGCATTTAATTAATATGCTTTATTAAAATTTTGATGTTTTGTAATTTATAAATGCTTGTGAGAGAGAATATTAAACAGTGATGTTCTAAGTACAGCGAATATTAAACAAAAATATATATAGTTTTAAGTTTATAATTTTAGAATTAGGGTTTCAATTTGCAATTAAAAGTTTATTGGTTTTCAAGAATTTTAAAAAACCTTCAAAAAACTTGACGAATTCACTACTAGTATGATCAATGAATATATGTTTTGAAAATAAAATTTGCAAAGAATTAATTAGCAAAAGTACCCCTTAATTGTAACTACTATGGCTATATAAAGTTTCTTTTTTATTGTAGCCACGAAAATTCAAGTGGCTATAAAAATTTGTTTTTATAATTAATAACTACGTAACAAAATTTTAAGCAGCATTCTTGCTAATATATCTAAAAAGAGAAATGAGAAAAGAGAGAAGAGAGATAGAGATATCAGTACTCTTTCCTAAGAACCCGGCAGCTCCGATCACCAAAATAGTTTTGTTGTCAAGGTACTGAAGAACACTCACGACCTCCTTCTCAGTCGACATATCGTGTGTGGTCGACAAATCTAATGCAACAACAAATATCGTGTGTGGACAAATCTAGCTAATACAACAACAAAAAATTCTGTGGAGAGTTCAAGATTTCTAATTGGCTTTATAAAGGCAAACACTACTCGTCCGCACCGACAGTACAATAACATAAAAGGATGAAATTGTTTAACAGCGATGGGTAGTAATGAGTTTCACTTTACAAAAAAAAAATAAAAAATAAAAAAAATAAAAAAAATTATTTGTGGTTGATATGTATACTTATCAAGAAATCTTAAACGTATAGAAATGATTTCTTGTATTAATGCTTAGACGTATACAAAGATTTGTATTTATACTAGAAAGTCTAACCTAAAGGAAACCTAACATATACGATATCGTATTTATACTACATTTTTTAACTTCAAGGGTGACATATAACATTAATAATTTTGATATTCAAACTCTTAGTTACTAATACTATACACCAATAAAACTAAAATGTACAAACGTGTTTTTTTTTTTTTGTGATAGATAATAAATCTAACAAGTACAAACGTTGGGGTTACTAAAATCTTTCCACTTAAAGAAATGGTCGACGTTCAACTACAAAAAATGGGTTATTAAATGCGTATTCTGTCTTCCTCTTAGAGAAGCAATGATCCTTTGGAATGCGTCAACTGATACTTCTGGACTTCACATTATTTTTCTAGGT